TCAGTTGGGGGCTCACGAGCTTGTGTTTTAGTTTTAAGTTTTAGGAGTAGTGAGAGTAAAGTTGTTCACGGAATCAGGAGAGTTTTCCAAACATTGAGTAAGTAGCGAGCTTATCACCTTTGTATTGACACTGAGTTTATTTTTCTTGATTTTTATGTTGGTCCAGTAGAGCTGGAATTTTTATTTTTATTCAGTATAGCTGGAGGGATTAATGCCCAGTATACTCGAATATTTTTGTTTGGTCCAGTGGAACTGGAGTGTTCGGGTTTATTCAGTACAGCTGGAGGGTCATTCCCAGGTACGTGAATAAATTCGTAATTTTTGTTTGGGTTGCTCAGTATAGCTGGAGGGTCCATTCCCAGTATACGTGAGTAAATCGTTTGTGATCCAGTGTAGCTGGATATCTTAGTTTGGTTGGCCCAGTATAGCTGGTGTCTACCTGTTTCAAGTGTCAAAGGTGATAGCCCTACTTTTAATGTTTAAGTTAAAGTGTTTGTTGTGAGCCACATTTTTAATAGTTAACCGCCACCATTTAGCTGAATAAGTTCCGTAAGTGTGAATCATGGACGTAATGAGTTTTATTGAGTGTCCAACTCTAGAAGTTTTAGACAGGTTTTGTCGCGTAGAGTTGTTGCGTCTAGTTGAGGAGCTAGGACTAGAGGTTGATGTGTCGGATAGAGATAGAGTTCTACGAGATCATATTTGTGTTGAGTTAGTAAATACAGGTAGATTAGAGGAGGAGTGTCTAGACTCGATAGAATATTATGAGATCGGACGTGTTAGGGTTGAAGAAATTGAGAGAAAGTATCAAGTTAAGTTGTTAGAGATCGCGAGAGAAAAAGAGGAGAAGTTGTTAGAGATTAGAAGGGATATATTCATGTCAGAATCTTGGAAGGAAATTAACATTAAAAGTTTAGAGAAACTGTTCGGACATGAAGTTAAACTATTAGAGATCAGGAGGGAACGGGATTTACTTATGCTATGGGAAGAGGCGCAGCTTAGTGGGTTGTTTGACTTTCCAGAATCTGTCTCTGTTTTCTCTCAGGCTAGTGTAGTAGTTTCCGAGGATCGGTATAGAGATGAAGATAGTTTGTTGTCTGATAGAGTTGGTAGTGAGTTTTGTCAGTCTCAGACTAAGGCTGCCACTAGCTTTGGCTCAGTCCCTGAAGTCGACTCTAACCTAGCAGAATCAGCACAAACGTCAAAACGTGCTGATAGCTTACGAGTCGAGAGTTGTGTGCCGACAAGTACTGAAGGCAGTCAGCAAGTTATTGGTTTAGATAAAATCACGGCGACCACTCTAATGTTGACCAGTCATGAAAAGGGGCTGTCAATATCTGACCCAGTGGATACAACCACCGATGATATAACGGCAACCACTCTGATGTTGACCAGTCATGAAAAGGGGCAGTCAATATCAGAACCAGTGGTTACAACCACCGCTGAAATCACGGTAACCACCGAGAGAGTGAATACCCATGAGAACAGGCTGTCCTCGTCTGAACCTGAACCAGTAACTGTATCTGATCAAGACCTTACTACTTGTGGTCTTGAAGGCGTCATGATCTTAACTGGAGGTCATGTGAATGGTGACCTACACCTTCAGTTAGACGAGTCAACGAATCTTCTGCCAGCCTCGGTAACGGACGAAATTGTTACCCATTGTCTTGGAGGTGAGCCTAACACGGGCTGTCCTCCCATTATCACGGCAGTGTTTAATTTCTCCCCGACCAAGTCCAGCAACCTGGAGGCCATGACCTCACCTGGAGGTCACGTGGATGGTGTTCTACATCCAGAGATAGACAAGTCAACGAATCTTCTGCCAGCATCAGTAACGGACGGAATCGTTACCCATTGTCTTGGAGGTGAGCCTAACACGGGCTGTCCTCCCATGATCCCAGCAGTGTTTGATTTCTCCCCGACCAAGTCCAGCAACCTGGAGGCCATGACCTCACCTGGAGGTCACGCGGATGGTGTTCTACATCCCGAGTTTGAGGAGACGACGAATCTTTTGTCAACGTCGGTGACGCGCAAAGTCGTTACCTTTTGTTTAGGAGTTGAGCCTAACTCAGGCTTCCCTCCCCTTATCACGGAGGTGATTTATGGTTTTCTGACCGACCCGGTCACGACCAACAACCTGGAGACGGTGACCTCAGCGGGTCACTTCAACCGAGGGTGCGTACAAGCGAGCGCACACCCCATTGCTTTCACGAAAACGGGGCGTGTAATCGTTCCCTCTTTGTGTGCCTCGATGTTCAGGATTAACATCGAGCCAAATCATGGCATTAGTGCAAGCTGTCCTGTGAAACCACGCCTTATGTGCGAGTCGATATTGGTGTGGACGGACAATAACTCTGTTACTAAATTTGTGCTGCGCCGTTATAAAGTTCGGCTTAAGTTTTATGTTTACGGACTCATGATGACCCGAAAGACGGAAAACTAATTTGTGTTTCAAACCTGTTAGAACTGTTCCCAAGATAGACTGTTTCATGTTTTCCCAGGACGCAAGTGTTCTAATCAAAATGAACTGTTTTCAGGCTTAAAGAGTGTACCTTTTACATGTCTTGTTTGAAAAAAAAAAATGTGTTATTGATGTTTTACATGCTGTTGAATTCGTGACAGTTTTTAATTGTATTGACAAGTTTTGTTGACTGATGACGTAACTATCAGTAAAACGAAGACTGTTGGTTTTCAATCTTAGCATTATTTGCGACAGTGACACATGTGTTGCAGATTTGCTGTTTTATTTACTTTGATGTCTATGTTTGATGACATTGTGTTTGGGGTATTTAGTCAAACTTGTTATTGTGACTAAATCATCCACGTTTCTTATCTTTTTAGTAATGATTATGTTAAATGGATTTAGTCCCATTTAGGTTTATTCTGGGACTTTTGAGGAATTGTGAGATTGGTATGGTTGTCTAGTAAGAGATGTTCAATTAATTCACCATGTGGTGGCGAATTAATTTCTTGAAGGGTGGGGGTGTTACGACCACCTGGTGTTTAACCTGGGCTGACCCGTATGTTGGGGTAGCGATCTCACGCTCATCCATCAACCTGGCGGTGGTCAGAGGCTGGCCAGCACAGGCCGTGAGAACCTTTGGGCCGTGACGGCCACACCGGATTGGTTACCACGCTGTGGGCGATGCATACCTGGTGTCTTGGGGTCCGAGCTATTAACGTGGCCAAGAACTCGTGATTTACGGCTGGGAAAACCTTCCAGATCGCACAGGGCCGAGATGGACGGTCATGTCCTGACCTGACCTGACCTGGGGGTCAGGCTCGATTAACAAGGTTCCCACACTAGTCAGGGACGACTCGAGAATATTAGGAGGGTAGACAGGAGACTAGGGGGGACACAGACACTCGGGACACACACACGGAGACGGACGGACGTCTCGGATAGCTAGGTTTAGGGGAGACAGACACGGGTCGTCTCTGTGAGCTAGTGGAGAGCCACGACATGTACTAGACCTAGGCTAGATAGACAGTTAGGGACAAGTAGGGCAGTCGATTTAAGGACTTTAGTTGTTGTAGTTACTTGTGTATATTTCTGATAGTTGTACTTCGGTGGCGGGTTAATGTTAGATGTTGTATTTTGTGGCGAATAAATAGAGATTACTGAAGTTGGCATTTATTTATTTTTATTTTTTCTTCTTCTTGTTTACGATCCCCTGACTAGTTCGAAAGGATTAGAGAAGGGGGTGCGTAACAATATATATATATATATATATATATATATATATATATATATATATATATATATATATATATATATAAGGGTCCATGGGAGTGGTAATAACCCCCCCCCCAACCCCCCTTGACTACGCCACTGCCCCCCCCCCCCCAATATAAAAGTTCAGTTTGATTTCTATCTTAAAAGAAATGTAAAAGCTTATGATATGTCAAGAGTTCCTTACTCCTTGCCCAGATGTTCAGCTTTGACTAGGTGAAGCAGTGGGGGCTGGGGGGGGGGTATTCTTTTAATTTCATGAACCTCGGATGGAAGATCTGATCGATGCTGAGAGGTAACTGGATACATCAGTGCCAGAGTCTCTAGCCCATCACGGACAAACTAGACAGCCGCTTAAGGGTTTCAATTTCCACTGGGGGGTATCGGGATCACTTAAATGATGGAAACTGTTGAAAATAAAGCTAGGGGGGGGGGGGCTTTCTAAATTAAAGGGACCCCGGCTCAATGGATGGACTGAGCCGCCGTCTGGGCCGCCAGGAAAAACTCCAGGTGGGCCGGGATCAAAGATTTAATGAGCCAATCAGTGCTTTGAAATTTTTAAAAAAATGTCTTTAATTAACACTTCTGATTTGTCGTTTTTTTTATTGTTGTATGTTGCAATTTGTAAAGTGAATGTGTAGGCGTCAGTCTTATAGGCTTGGGTGGATAAAAAAAATGCGCAATGAAAATTTAACCCGGTAAAGGGCCGCTTTTATTTATTCCCAGGGCCGCTTTCAGTTATTCCCAGGGCCGCTTTCATTTATTCCCAGGGCCGCTTTTATTTAATCCCAGGGCCGCTTTTATTTATACCCCGGGCCGCTTGGACACCCAACACTGTCACACTTTTTTTTTCTCCGGGCGATGGGGTAGGGGGCGGACACTGGCAAAAGTATATCTCCTATACGATTCTATTTCGTGGGGGGGGGGTCAACCCCTGCACGGCTATGTAATTATGTAAGGGGGCGCCGTGTTACAAAGTCAGGCCCTGGCTTCAACTTACTTCATGTCATGTCAGTGAAGCGCTTCATATCAACGGCGGCCACATAAATAGGTAAACTCTACTTCACCTGCCACATTCCGTAATCAAAAAACTGTATTTAACTTTCCACGACTTTAATTTCTAACCAAAACCTATTTTAACAAAACGGTAACGCTAAATCTAAAAAAAAAATAATAATTCTTACTTTTCTCGACACTAACCTTCTAAAAAAACATGAATCAAGCATCAACTAGATCAATTTTTTTTCTTTCTAATTATGACACATACCTTTCCTCCCTGAATGCCATTCCAGCGCTCCGCCAAGCGAAAAAACTAAAACAACGATGATAAATGTTTTCATGGTATTTACCGAGAATCAACGTTTACAGAAAAAAAAAGTCCAAACACGTAAAGATCCCTTCAAAACAACAAGCTATTGAGTGTAGGAAGTTCCAAGCCTCGCCACGCTTCCCCTTGTGTTTGACTCTCCCATTACCTCCAGGCGTTGTGTAATACGTTGATTTGGCAACATATAATTAACGCAAGATGCGTGCTCAGCTTGAGCTTTCTTCAGTGCCTCTGCTCGACCCACTTATAATTTATTTGACATATTCTTTTTCACCTTTTTTTTTCGTTCTTTGCAACACAAACGTAGCAGTTTTTTTAAAACTCTTCTTTTCTAAAAAAAACTCAAAACTCTAAGCAATTTTATTTCACATGTTCGGCGTTGTTTTGTTTTTTTCCTTTTATTTTAAAACGACATTTTGTTGTAACTTTAAATTACATCAAAATGAACTTCTCAATTGTCAAATTGTTAATTTTATTTATTTGTTTACATTTTATATCGATTTAAAGTATTATAAAAAAAATACATTATTTTTAAATAGCATTCAGAAGCATTAATTATTTTTTTTTTATAAAATACTTTAAGCCAATATATTTTAAAAACGTTAAAAAAAATTGTATTGATAGAAAAAGAAAAATTGACAATTTTTTTTCAGCGGATATAGAACACATGTGGAGGGGAAAAAAAACGAACTAGGTCAAGGAATGAGAACTCTAATTTCCCAGTACATGTAGTTGTTTTCTCCTTGACGAAAAAAAAAAAGACCAAGGGGAAACCACTTAGATAAAGGTAGATAATTAACTTTGTTTAGCGACTTTATAAATACTATTACCAACAGGGGATTGATTTCTCTAAATCACGTGACTACAACACGCGGCCAATGATTTTTTTTTCCACCTTGCCTCGCTTTCCTGTGGCGGTGGCGCGGATTCAACCTCTGGTGCGTTAATAGGCGGGCATGTAGCGTGCAGGCACTTAAAAAACTTGGAAGAACTGTGGGGGAAAAATCCGGAATTTTTTTTTTTTCTTTCGCGCTAGCGTTTTATAGGCGTGCCTTCAATATCCTGTGACATGTGCGTTTTCAATAGAAAGGGAGGGGAGGATGTGTTCGAATAAGCATTTATAAACGGGTCATCTATATATAGTACCGTTAATCTAAGCAGTTGGGTATGAATTGACCCATTAACCCTTTATGTACTGAACTCATAAAAAAAACAGATAAAAATATTTTTTCCCTTATTTAACGTCAGATCTCATGAGAGTACTTTACATCTTTAAACGTCGACATTCGATTTCTTTACACCTTTAACCCCTCGACGCCCACTCAAAGATTATCCTAATTAAATGTCGCCCACTCATAGTTTATCATGGAAATAGATTTTTTACTTTACGAACATCTCAATAATTTTTCTCCTTGCAGATATGAATCACATTTTTTGTTTTCATCTAAAAATCGCATTCCTCGTAGTTGTGTGAAATCACATTTTTTGTGTTGATGGGAAAATCACGTTTCTAGTGTCTATATGAAATCACATATTTTTGTTTTGACGGGAAAATCACGTTTCTAGTGTCTATATGAAATCGCATATTTTTGTTTTGACGGGAAAATCACGTTTCTAGTGTCTATATGAAATCACATTTTTTTGTGTTGATGGGAAAATCACGTTTCTAGTGTCTATATGAAATCACATTTTTTGTGTTGATGGGAAAATCACGTTTCTAGTGTCTATATGAAATCACATTTTTTGTGTTGATGGGAAAATCACGTTTCTAGTGTCTATATGAAATCACGTTTCTAGGGTCTATATGAAATCACACTTCCCGGGTTGATGTGTAATCACATTTCTCGTGTTGATGTGAAAATCACATTTTTACAAGATTTTTCTTAGTTCACAATGTCTGTTTGTTTGTTTGTTTGTGGCAAATTGTGTAACTTAATTTTAATTTTGAATCACTTCTAATACAGCGATTTTGTTCACATTTTCAAGAAACCTTCTTTTTTTCGTTGACAATGGATTAATATCATTTTTTAAAAATCAAATTGAACAATTAATCATTAATTTTTAATTTTTAATTTTAAAATTTCTAAATTTGGTAACAAAGTACTCAAGTGGGTACTCGATCACCCTGTTTACAACGGTGAACAGGGTGATCACCGTTGCCTGATTTCTCGCGTCGAACACGAACAAAGTAGGGGCAGATAACTCTCTTTTATAGACCACAAGCTATTGGTCGGATATAACTTATAACGCATAGTTTTGTATTATGTCGTAGTGTTAACTTCATTTCAAAAGAATGCACTAAAAATAAGAAAATCAAAACACACTTGCTGTCTTTACTAGTTCACTTCTAAAAATAAACACAAGCTGGCTGAAATCTCGCACAAGAAAACAAAAGATCTATCACCCTCAAGTAATCTAAATCAAAAGCACTTTTTTACATCACCCGTTTATTTACTTTTCTTGTTTTTTTATTTGGCAAGGGCTTACGTTCGAAATATTTCTAGGGTTAACTAATTACAGGCGTAATGGTAATATCACTGTGATATAGTCTTACTTCTATAGGAATATTATGCAAGATGTATATATATATATATATATATATATATATATATATATATATATATATATATATATATATATATATATATATATGTATGTATATATATATATATACATATATATGTATAAATACATATATATATATATATATATATATATATATATATATATATATATATATACATATATATATATATATATACACACACACACACATATATATATATATATATATATATATATATATATGTGTGTGTATATATATATATATATATATATATATATATATATATATATATATATATATAATTCCGACCCCTGACAGTAGACACGGCTTAGTCTGTCTCTCAAGAATCAAATAAATGCGTTTATAATCCGCATTAATATAAATGGAAATTCAAACAAAGCTGAAATATACAGTCACATTGAGAGACTAAATTTAGTTTCAAGTTGGACATTTATTATTTTTAACAGAACATGAAACTCGCATTATAGTTAAGGCGTATGACGATGTGCACTTATTTCATAAAATGAAAGAAAGGGGTTAGACTGTTTTATTACTTTGTGCGCAGTGGTTATTTAGATAAAAAATCTCTATTTTTTTTACCCCTCTTTCCCAAAAGCCTTGCCAATTAAAATAGTTAGTAGATGGATAATTTAACAAACTTTTTCCTTCTAACGCGAATTTTGTTTTAAAGATAGATAAAAAGAAAACGTCTCGTAATTATTTAGACAAAACGTAGATTTCACGCAATTTATTTTACAAGACACGTTCAAGTATGAAGCCATGAAGGCCAATTAAAGTCTAAAAATAAACCCAGAAGTATTGAGTAAACTTGTAACAACCGTTTTATTTTTAGGTGCACGTGACAGGTGCTGGGGGTAATATTTTTACCATCTCGCCCCCGGCTCGTCAGTCACCATTTCCCCCGTTACCCCGGCTAATGCGGCTCACGTGAGCCGAGACCAGGGGCGAATTTTCCCAAAGATGTATTTAAAGTAGGGGGGTGGGAGGGCAAGTTTCCGGGACAGGGGGAGAGACGAGTGTACAAAAAAGCTGATTGATAAAGAAAGGATATAGGCCTATATATATATATATATATATATATATATATATATATATATATATATATATATATATATATATATATATATATATATATATATATTAGCGATATATATATATATATATATATATATATATATATATATATATATATATATATATATATATATAGTTATATAGGCCCTATAGTCAAATATATATCATATGTATACTATATGCTATGTCTAACATATATATGAGTGTGTGTATGTGTGTATATGTATGTGTGTGTGTGTCTATGGGTGTATAGCTCCATGAAAAGTATGTATTTAAAAAATTTAACACCTACAAGAAAGATGCATTAAAGAACATAGAGGTACAGACACTGACCAAATAGTCGCATTTATTAGCGTTTCCATTTCATCTTCATTAACCGTGTTAATTATCATTATTCTTACTTTTTAAAATTGATTTTTTCTTAATTTCCCAAAAAAAAAAGTTAAAAATGTCTTTGACGGGCTCTTATGGGGAGCAGCCTCCCCCCACCCCCACCCACCCTGAATACGCCTCTGATTTAAAACAACCTTTTCTTTCAGCCAGCGAGTTGAGGAGATTGGTAGATGGAAGAAGATACGCGTTGTTTGAGATGTGTGAGACGGTTATCGCCCCTGAGTTCTTCAATACTATCTTCACTCGTATCTGTCTATGCAGTGACGTTGAGCAGTCAAAGGGGATGGAGGAGTGGGGAAGATGAAACCGGGGGAATAATCAGGGGGATAATGGTTTGAAAACAATACGTATTTGTGTTTTCTTTGTGGCTAGATACTGCAATAACACAACTTTAATCCGAAACTGTGCAAGTAGACCAAACTCATATTTGCGATTAGATATAGGCTACATACATATACTTTTATATGTATATATATATATATATATATATATATATATATATATATATATATATATATATATATATATATATATATATATATATATATATATATTCCGAAGATTTTAATGGCAGTGTCACATCTTTTGTAAATTCAACTAGTTCTAGAACGATCTGAAGTTAAAAAGAAATTAAACTCGCCTTCGAAAATACGGACTTAGATTTCGATAGCAATAATTTTCTAGCCATGAACAATCATAGTTTAAACAATTACCAAATCTTTACTGATATATTTTTCTACTTCGTCTGTTCGGTGCCAACATCTTCAAAGTTCCACATTTTTTGTATAATAACTTGCTCCACTTTAACATCTTGTTACATATGTTTATTTATTTACTACTCTTCGTGCCAGTCTTTGTCTTATGTTTATTTAATCTTTACTTGTCGTGTCGTTCTCATGCAGTGGTATAAAATATAATCAGGGCCGGCGCTACCTATAAGGCGAACTAGGCGGTCGCCTAGGGCGCCATCCCTAGGGGGGGGGGGGGGGGAGGGCGCAAAGGGTATAATCGCTATTATCAAAAAGTAGCTAATAATGAATAACTTTTATAAAGAAGTAGCGATATATTTCGGCACCCAGGACGAACTATCAATTGTGCAGCCCCCACCCCAAAATTAGGTCTATATAGGCCTATATTTATTCGCGATGGTGAAAATGCAACCTTACCTCCATAATTTGGAAAGTACTTATTACCAGTCACTTTGCCTTTTTAATTTGGTGTCACATAACTGATGT